AAACCACCTTGCCTCTTGAGGTCGAAATTTTGTTTACTCCTCAGGAACTGTGAGAACATGTCAGCATCATGTGGCCTGGTGTGTGAAGCATAGGGCCCACGGCCCTGGTACCCATTTGTCGACGCCCAGGAAATTGATGTCCGTGTATACTCACTGTCAATCTCACCCGCCGCGATCGCGTCCTGGATCGCCTTCGGGCTCTTGCCATCGACCTGGCAACCCACGCTGAACGCGGTGCCCAGGACCTCCTTCACAACACCCTCGAGGGACTTGGAGAAGCTCTTGAAGCGCATGGTCCGTGCAATCTCGATGATCTCGTCCAGGGGAACAGACTTGCTGTGCTTGATGTTCTTCTCCTTCTTGCGATCACGAGGAGGCTCCTTGAGGGCGCGGATGATCAGAGAGGAGGCGGTAGGAACGACAGAGACGGCTGCCTGACGGTTCTGGATGGTGAGCTGGCAGGTGACACGCAGACCCTTCTGTTTGATGGTAAGACACGTTTGTAAGCTTCATGTTCCATCTCGTCGCGACCATTTCACGGTGGGGCAGATTCGACAGTTTCGATCTCGTGTGTACAATTGGGAGGGGCGGATTCGTACCCAGTCGCCAGTGGCCTTGGCAATGTCTTCTCCGACCTTCTTGGGGGAAAGACCCAGAGGACCGATCTTGGGAGCCAGAGCGGAGGAGGCACCGACCTCACCACCGGTAGCACGGAGGTAGCTATTTCCAACACGTCAGCATCTTCTGTTCGTTGATATTCGTTTTCGTATTCTCAGCGTTCAACACGTGGCGTCGCAACGGGACTCGTCGTCGTCGTCGTTGTTGTCGGCGATGGCGGGGCAGGGGACTCAGAGTGGTGGGTTTTGCGCGTACATGATCTTCACCTCATTGGGGTCGATCTTGGGGGCTGTTCAAAGATGTAACATCAGTATTGAGATTCGTCTTTTCAAAGTTTCGACACTGAGGGCCAAAAACTAACCCATTGTGACTGATTTGGCGAGGGATTGACTGTGGTGGGTTTGGGTTGAAGTCGTTCGTCAAATCCAAGTCCGAGGCGGAGGGAAGTGGAAATCTTTCGAGGCGACCTTGCCTAGCCGGCCAAACGCAAAATTGCCCTCTGGTGTGTTTTGGGGATCACGTGAATCAAAGGGACCATCCGCCAAACGGGACGATGACCCGCTTTAAGTAGCCGTCTCAAGCTGTTGATTGGCCAACTGGCTTGAGTGACCCCATCATTCCTCCATGCATTACAGAAGGTGTTGGACAACATGTGAATATTGAAATATGTAAGATTGCGCAGAAACATTTATTGATGCTTCAAGGTTAGGGTGAGCAATTTTTGGAGGATTGATTCAACGTTGCCAGTTGAATTAGTGGTAGCGTTGAAGACGGGCTACCGTCAGATGTTGGTCGTGTCACTTGCTAGAGCAATGGCGAGCACTCACGCAGAAACGAAACCAGAGTCTACATCTGTTGTTCTAGGCCAACCTTCAATCAGAACTCGAGCAAAGCAACATCGTCATTGACACAGGAATGGCGCATGTCACATATGCACATACATAGACAGACACAGGCATAAAATTCACCAAAACCGCTCACAGCACAAGTACGAACCTGCCTTTGAAGTTTGATTGGCCCCGGCGGCACAAGCAGTCTTGAACATGAAAATGAAGTATTTCTTTATTAACCACGCTACCTACGCTCCTCGACCTATTTTTAGATATGAAGGACCTTTCGCCCATGTGCCATGTCCTAATTGGTGCCGCTGACGGCCAGCCTAGAAACCATATGTCAGCTCAACAAGATCCCACACGGGACTACCGGAATCACAAAAGACTTACTTCATCAGGTGGTCCATGAATGTTTGAAGAGATACATCATCAGTGAAGATAGTCTGGGCACTCTGTGTTGGTGCGCCATATGCACCGGTCGTGTGTGTGGTAGAAGGGTTTAGTTTCGACAGGAGGAATCTAGCCTGCGAACCACCGGCGTCACACACGATGAAACGCGGAAGGGGGAACCGGTCAGTGATAAGATCCTGTGGATGTTGTGTCAGCCCTTCTGCGAATAGTAAAAAGCACTTTGAAAACCCCTGAGGAAGGGTGCTTGACTCACTCTTGCGTCTTCCTTCGGCTTCTCCAGCAATGTTGCAAAGTTCTCATAACCCTCCTGCTCTTGATACCCGGCTTTCCTCCATTCTGCAATGGTCTCGCCGTGGAAGATAAGGATGTGGAAGAAGGTATCGAGTAGGAGAATATGCTGCGGCTGTATCGAAGTGGAATCCAAAAGCACCGGCTGGCCTTCTTCTTGGTCGAACGTGTATGAGTCGAGTGTGGGCTGTATCATGATAAGAGAGTTGCTGACATCCTCATGGTTGAGCACATGCCGATAAAACGCCGTCTCATCCGGGGAATTGTTGAAGACCTGAAGGAACTGACTCCTCCGTAGATGGAACATGAATTGTGGGTAGAGTGTGAAATTCTTCTCCAGGCGGAAGGAAGAAGGATCGTCCTTCCTGTAATCGGCAAATCTCGAGCAAAGTCGGATCAGCATACGATCAACCCAACGCAGGACATCCGGTCCGTCATCCACCTCAGCCTTGAAAACCGCAATACGGGACATCAAGACCGCAGCAGCTTCCTGGTCAAAGGACTGTGCAATTGCTGGATCACCTGCAGGTCCACTCATGTTTCGTGCAACGGTGGTCACACGGAGGTGGAATTGCCCAGATGAGTGTTGGTAGTATGTCAAGAACTGCATCATACCCCGATTAGGCGTCTGGGCGACTTGTGCGGGGCCGCCTTGCCCAGCAATCTCGAAGTAGACACCATAACTGGCATTAGGGTCAATACCGCACATCTTCCATGAGCAGGTGTTGCCAATACCGCACTCCGTCTCGCCAACCGACGTGGACTTTTTGTTAAGAGACACGGCATGACCTATCAGGCCAGTCACCTTCAATTCTTTGGTGGTCAAAACCTCGAGAACAGCGTTGAAGCCCATGACCAGGTTGTCGTCGTCATCCTTGTCGAAAACGCGGACGAATGATTGCTTGAACATGGACGATGTGAAGCTATCTGTCAAGATCATATGTCCGCCGGTAGAGTTGCACAAGCCCTTCATCTCGAGAAGACCGACCTGGTCCAAGCATCCCGCAAAGATGTCGATGATGTGACCATTGTGCGCAGTACGCTTAGCCAAGTTGTCGTAAAACTTCAGCGCCTTCTTGTAGTACTTTATGTTGTCGCGGTCGATGTCGTGATGAGACCGAATAGGCTCCCTCAATTCAGGCCCGACAACCATGCCGGGACCCTCAGTGGCGGGGCCACCAGCAAAAAGCATGATACGTCCACCGGCGTTCTGGAACGAAGTCTCTAATAGACCAACCGCAACACTCAGTGCAACACCAGTGCACCGCAGGTTCCTGCGGTCGCTTGCAACAGGCCAAGGATCCTTCTGCAACTGCTCTAGGGCCTTGGTGAGGTTGAACTCCACCTGCTGGACTGGCAGCAAGAATCTTGCAGCCGGGCCCATGGGCATGGGCCGACCAGGCTGGGGCTGCATGCCAGGTCGCAGGGCAGGCTGGGACAGACCCAACATTTCCTGAACCTGCTTTGCCGAGTACTCCTTGGACCCGCGGAACACATATGATTTGGCGCACTCGGTGTAACCAATCTCGTGCACCTGGGCCATGGTGCCGTAGGTGATGAGGCCTACAAGAGCATTCTCGGGCAGCAAGCTCAAGCTCATGACCAAAGATTCCTTGAGCGCCGCCAAGCTGTCCTCCTCCTGGCACAGGTCGACGACGTATAGGAAGATCGGGGGGCTCGGCGCAGGGCGGGCGAGTCTGTATTCGATAGTTGTGTTTGAAGGATGCAGCTCGGGTGGAATGGCATTTGCAGAAATGTCCTTGTAGTGTGCGGGCAGGGCGTTGCGGGATAGACAGAATGGGCAGATCCAGAGACGCGCCCGTACGTCAACCTGGCTAGTGGGCTGTCAGCATGGTTGTTGACGAGAAGGTGGATAGGCCAGCGACTCACCAGAAAGGGTTCAGCACTGAACGACATGGCTGTTTACAAGTGACTGGCTCGAATTGCAGCAGAGGCGATTCCGGCTTCTCCTTGAGAGGCGTGTACAAAGCTCCAATGGGCACCACGAGTCGCGAAGCTTCCTGTACATTCGGTCAGCCATGAGCGCGAGACACCGCAAGCATGAGCTTGAGGACAGTACTGACCATCCTGGAGCTAGGAAACACGTTCCAGCTGAGACGGACTCCATCACGCTCCTCCACATCACTCCACTGCTCCTTCAGAGCCTCATAGTCCATGGGCGCGGCCATGGTGTCGTCGCAAGTCTAGACAGCGCGTGGCAGCCCAGATACAACCGAGGCCAACGCAGTCGTCACGCCGCGGGAGGATGGAACTATATTCTAGGGGTCGAATTTGGTGGTCGTCAAAAGCCTCTGCTCCTAATGAGGGTATCTGCGGTCGATGGAGCAGTGGGATTGTGAAATTGGGTTGCGTTGAGTTTACGGGTGGTCGAGTTGGCAAAACGTGGCTAGAAGTTCCAGCTCGACCTCAGTAGGTTGATCGGGCTGCGGTACAGTGACCTCCCACCTAAGCCTTTAACCCCCCCGGCCCCGAAAGGCCAACTTGCTCCGAGCTCAAGCGTCACCTTCCTGCTGGGCCACCATGGCTGCAGCTTCCCTGCTCATTTCGTACCAAAAACCCGAACCCTACATCACTTTCCAGTCCACTCGTAAGGCTGTTGCGGTGTCAAATACTATAGGTGAGGTGATAGTGCATCCTACGAAAATGTGAAGAATCAAAGCTTCTGGACCTATGGAATCTACGAATTTAGGGATTCTAGATCGAAGCTTTGAGCATCTTTACAATTCAAGTCTCGCAGACACTAAAAATATTGGGTCAATTATCGCTGAAGAGCAAAATGAAGCAAAATATAACCACATAAGTCTACCAATGATTTTCCGAGATTTGCGTAGGTCGCACTGAGAATTGAACTCAGATTACCAGAATGATGAGCGTTCGAAACGCCTCAGAATCTGATGTGCTAACCATTACACTATGCAACCATTTGTTTGAAGTGGCATCGCAACTGAAAAGTTCTCTTAATGAGGACAATTTTGACTCAAGCCCGTGAATTTCTCACGATGTGGGGCGTTGGTGGGGAGGTGGGTGGAGTGGGTACACTTATACCAAGTACAAGTACGCCAAAGTCCAGGATTACTTCACTCAGAGGGTCTATTAGTACATTCTATTATCAAGTATTGACCACCTAGTCAAGCAGCAGGGCGCCGGCGGGAGTTGCCGTGACCAATGTATCACATGTATTGAAGGGCGGCTGTACTATGGAAAGCAAGTCTCCTTACAATAACATTTGTTGTCCGCAATTGTACTTGGTGGACTGTGTAAGAAAGGAAGGTCGAAGACAATTCGTTCGATGCCTAGTCTGTGTAGAACGGTCGACCGAGTTCAATAATTATCAAAGTTGTATATCAGTTGGGCCTTTCAATGCTACCTAGGCACATAATTGCAACTGCCAGGGCCTCACGCCACAAGCCATTACTGGGACTTTTTATGGTAGTCATATCAGATGGGCTCAATGTTTGCAAGAACTAATCATCATCTCCTTACGCCAGCGCAAAGCCATCGACGGGCTTGTAGACGCACTTCTTGCAAGGTACTCCCAATGCCTGCTTTGCTCCGCCACAAGGGCAAAAAATTAAAGCACGCAGCCGCAAGTATGCGCCAATGAATCGCAAGAGTCCCATAAAATTTGGACCACCTAAACATACTTCCGAAGCTAATACGAAATGTCAGTTGGATGCGGCTGAGAACTGGAGGGCGAGAAGAACTTACATCTAGTGTCAACGTCTTTGAGCTATTCACCTCCTGATCTCTGTATACTCCAATCAGACTCTCGCTGTCCTGAAACAGACCTGTCTTGAGAGAGATGACGATGAATTGCATGCCAGGACCCGCATGCTCACGAATGTACTTCTTGATTTTTTCCACGTTTGCATTGTCCAGCGCAGCATCCACCTCGTCCAGCACGAAGAATGGGCTCGGCTGGTAGCTGTGTATTGCAAACAGCAGGGCAAGAGCTGCAATCGTCTTCTCACCTCCGGACAGGTGCTCCATATCTCTGAAACGCTTGAGAGGCGGCATGGCATGGTATTTGATGCCCGAGAGATATGGCGTGTCTGTGTCGTCCTCGATGTCTAGGTAGGCGGTGCCACCAATGGGGAAGGCCTCGGAGCGCGTAAGGTCCTTGTATACGGCGACGATCTGTTCCTTGATGTGTTCGAAAGCCTTACTGAAAAGCTCAAAGCGCTTGCTTTTGACGGCGTTAAAGGCATCCTTGGCTTCTTTGAGTGCATTTCTGGCGGTCTCAAAGTCTTGCTCGGTCGCCTTGAGACGGGTTTCGACACTCTCCAGGCGTTCTATGGCGCGCATATTGGGGTTCAGTTTCTCGAGTTCCGCCGTCAACGAGCTGATTCGCTCTTGTAGTTTCTCTTCAACATCATCCTCGGACTGCATTCGTTAGCCTGTAACTTCTCAATGCGGGTAGGAGAATTTGTTGGACTCACTCCCTTCAGCTCGTCATCTAAGCTGTCGAAGTTCACCTCGATACCATGGTCATCCATGGCAGCTTCAATTTCTGCGTCATCGTCCTCGTCCACATCCATAGCGTCCGGATCTTGATGCAGCAAATTGTCCTGGTTGGGCAATTCATCAAGGGAGCCTTGTGCCAGAGGAACCTGAATCTGCTCGAGCTTACACCGTCTGAGCAGAGCAAACTTGCTCGCGCTGTTCTTCTGGATCTCGGCTTCCAGTCCACTGATGGCTTTCAGACGAGCGTCGATGTCCTTGCTGCGCTTCTGTACCTCCTGCTTAGCCGCGGACACCTTGTCTGCCTTCTTGCTCAAGACTTCCTTCACTTCCTCAAGACTCTCTTTCAGCGCCTCCAGCTCATCCTTGTCCTTACCCAACGCCTCCTCAATGTCCGCTTTGTCTTCCTCGTACGACTCGATGTCCGCCTCCAGCCGCTTGAGCGAGGCCTCGATCTCCTGAAGACGTCGTTGGGTCTCATCGTGCCGTGAGGTCTCAAGAGTCAGTATACTCTTGAGTTTCTGCTTCTGAACCTCGAACTCGTTGCGCTTCTTAGATGCCTCTTGTTCCAGGCTACCCTGCAGAGCCTCGTACATACGTATGTCAGTGTAGCCTAATCTCTTGCAGAAGTCGGCGAAGATCTTATCCTGCACGTTTGCAATTGCCTTTTCGAAATTGGTCACAGATTGACGCGTATTTTCCAACTCGCCCTCTTTCTCCTCGTACTTGGGCTCCCAGTCATCAAGTTGCCGCTCTTCATGCTGCAGCTCCTTCTTCTTGCTCGCCTCGTTCTTCTCGAAGGCTTGCAATTCGCTCCGCGCTTGCCTGAGGCGCTGCTCAAGGCTTGAGATACTCTGATCTAAGGTCTCCTTGCGGGTCTTATCAGTTCGTGGCAGTTGAGACAGAGTATCCTTGAACTTGTCGAGCTGCTTTCGCAGGTTGACTACGTCGTGCTCTTGGAATTGTCGTTTGCCTCCCTTGCGATCTGGCAAACGCCCACCAGTCATCAGACCAGCCTTATGAATGACGTAGCCCTCAATAGTAACAGCCTTCACAGGAATCCGTCTCTTATAACAGATTTCCTTTGCAATGTCCAGCGAGTCGCACACTATGGAGCTGCCACAGGCGTATGCCATGGCACGCTCGAGTGACTGATCGTAATCGATAGCTTCGATCGTAAGCCGCGCCCCTGGTATGCCTTTGACGGTCGAATTTGGTGCATTGGTCTTGATGTTGTCCAGCGGGATGAACGTCATGGGAGGAAATCGTTGCTGCTTGAGGTACTCGACACAGTCTAGACAGGCCTTTTCCGTATCGGCCACCACGGAGTCAAAGTCACGACCCAAAGCGGTGATGACAGCTTCGTCGAATTTCTTTTGCTTTGGCTTGCAGAGATCGCCAACTCGGCCTCGGACCGCAGGGTTCATGCGCTTGAGGGTCTGAACCATCTCCTTGATCCTCCTCTCCTTGTCGGTCTCAGCTTTGCCGGCCTCCGCTTCTTGGATCTTCCGGAGAATGTCGTGCATCTTCTCATCGATCTCGGTCCGCGAGTTGTTTATCCTGGTCTCCTCCGAAACCAATTGATTGCGCTCTTTTTTCTTGTCCTCCAAATCACTAGAAAGCTGTTGAACAAGTTCCTTGGTCGTAGCCTTTCTCTCGCGGATAGAGCTCAATTCACCAGCCAACTTGTCGGCCGCTGCCTGGAAGGTTTCCACTTTGCCCTTGAGACTGTTGACTGTTACCTCATCACCCCTCAGTTGGCGAATGAGACTGTCCAGGCGCGCCTGGTCCGCTGACGATTTAGCCATGGCCTGGGCTTTGAGCTTGTTGTATTCCTTGCGGTCCGCATCGGTCAGTTGTTTGCCCTGCTTCTTCATAGTCTCCTGCCATTGTTTCTCGTACTCCTGCTGTGCTTTTTCGACAGTTGCAAGATCTTTCTTGGCCTTTTGAATAGCCTTGACCTGCTCGTCTCGTTCTCTGCTGACGTTTTCCGCGCGTTTCCTCAGTCTCTCCACGGTCTGAGTACTCTGTGCCACTTTCTCATTGATTGGGACAAGGCTGCTCTCTCTGTCCTCAATATCTCTTTCCTTTGTCCGAATATTCTTCTCGATCTTACTAACTTCCTTGCTGACGGTGACCTGCTCCCTGCGGGCTGCCTCAAGCTTCTTCTCAAAGGTCTCAACATTTCGGCGGAACTCAATCAAGTTTTGCTGGTGCTCCTGGATCTTGGCGCTAGACTCATCCATAACCCTTTGGAAATTGTACAGCTTCCAGAGAATGTGCGTAACGACGGCCGCATCACGCTCCTCTGTCTTCTTCTGGAAGTTCTCTGCTTCTTTCTTTTGCTCCTGGTACTGCTTGATCTCGGAGTTGATGCCACGACGCCTGTGCAGCATGAAATTTGAGTTCTCTGCAGCCTGCTCTTGTTCTGCCTGAAGCTTGTCGTATTCTGCCTTGTACTCTAGAGATCCAGAGATCTGCTCAACAAGCCTGGTGAGCTCGTGTGGTGACTGTGATGCAATGGTCTCGACATCACCCTGAAAAACCAGGAAGTTTCGTGCTTTGATCAAGATGTTTTCGGCTTCCAGCGCCTCATTGTACGCCTGGGCAGTGACAGTGCGATCGTTGATATGATAGGAGCTGCTTCCCTGTGGTGTGATGGTCCGCTTCCACTTCTGCTCGTCGCCCGCGTCGTCCTCGTAGACAGCCATAACCCAGGCAGTCTTGGGGTCGTTGCGCGAGCCGCGACCGGAGGTATCATCGTCGCCGTTGGTTTGGCCGTTCGCGTGACCATTTGTTGCGGGCTCGGCTACGGACCCATCGTCGTTGATCTTGCTAGTTTTCATTACACGGCCACGGTAGACGAGCTCTTTCAGATGGGAGGAACGCAGTTGACCAGATTTGATTCCCAGGACGAAGGAGATCGCGTCCATGCTATAGGGTGTTGTCAGCGCGAAGTCAGCGCGCGCGCGCGCGCGCGTACGGTGGAGGGCGTTGGTGGACTTACGAGTTGGATTTGCCCGATCCATTAGGTCCGATGATTGAGGTGAAATAGGAATCGCCGAAGAGGAGGGTGTGGTGGCCCTTGTAGGACTTGAAGTCTGTTTGCGCATCGCGTCAGCATACGAGATGGGACTCGCGGGGATCATAAGACGCGATTAGAAACATACTGAAAAGCTCAAGTCGGACGAGTTTCCCCATCTTGAACGTCTGCAAGCCTTCGCGACGCGTGAATTGAAGGGATGAAGTGGTCGAAAGACTGGGCGTTGAAAAGCAGGGAGCGACTGGTCGTTCGGCCTGTTCCCATAGCGCGACGGCGGGCAGGTAAGTCAAACGCGAACGAACGTGGGAGGGGATGTGAAAGTAGTGGAATTAATTGGTAGATTTGAGGTGCAGTTAAAGCTTGCAGGGATAAATGCATCGGCTATGGAGATTCGACCTTGAGGGTCCAGGTTGGGTG